TGGTCCTTCGTAGATAACTGTCGACCATGTGCCACTAGGTACTGCTTTGCTATTACTGGCACCAATAAACTGCTCCTTCGCCATCAAGTCGGTAACACCATCATATGTTGCTGCAGTGCCTGACAACTGATCTCAGTGCTGAACAACTCCCCTATATATACCCCCACTGTCTATAAATAGACCATTACATCAGCATACATAATGAGTCTGGAACTTCTGGAATTTCTAGAATGTTCCATTACCTTCTATTGCCTCCTACAGTGTTCTATTACCTATTCAACCATTTTCTAAAAAATATAGAATATTCCACCCAGACACAGTACGGTTCTAGAACATTCTCAGTGACACGGAAATGGTAAATAAGTCGTATGCGACAGTGGTTTTTTGTTGATTTGTTGGTTAGCAAAAATAATGATGGATCTGACTTGCACAGGTGGTTGGACAGGTGGTTTATACTTATCTGCCACTCTGTTGGGAAAGTGTGTTAATGAGTTCAGTTTGTCCTTCATGTACTTTGCCAATAGTGTAACCTCATTGGTCTGACACCACTGAATCAATTACTGCTAACAGTGTTGCTAACTTGTTGCTCCTCATTGGTTGGATATGTACCATCTATTATTGTTGCCACAGCTTACCACTCCTCCAGCCCTGAATGGCGTACTGTAGTAATTTCCTGAAAATGTATGTGTAATCCCATCTGTTTGTAATTTACAATCCTCTTGGTTTGTCGTTGTAAGAGAACCCCTCCCCCTAACTTGGGATGTGATTTTTCTATAGTGTGAGTGTAAAAATTAAACCAACACTGGACCATCTTCCCACATGGTATTGATGCACTGGCCTTCAATCTTCCACTCTGAAATTGTGTGACAACAATATGCAGATGGAACCTAGGCTCCGGTGAAGCCTTCGGAATAAAAAAACATCAGGAGAATAACAATCTTGACGCACCAGTGACATATAATTCCAAATTTGATCTGTGTAATGATCTTTTTTGAGTTTTTTACTTGATTTAAACTAATTTCAATATATTCATGGATGAGACCACTGTCGTGTGACAATTTTGATCAACGTTTTGATTATAAAACAATGTAATACTTGATTAAATCAAATATATTCGATTATTTATTTATTTATTTATTTATTTATTTATTTATTTATTTATTTATTTATTTATTTATTTATTTATTTATTTATTTATTTATTTATTTATTTATTTATTTATTTATTTATTTATTTACTCATTTATTTATTTATTCATTTATTCGTTTGTGTATTATTCATCTATTTATTCATCTGTTCTATTTATCCATTCCTTTCTAATCGTGTTGTCGATTTCATTTATATAACCATTGCTGTTTTTTATATTTATATATTATTCAATGTATTATTTATGTAGATTTTCTTACACCGTCACTGACACTGAATGTAGTACATTAAGTACCAGTATCACGATTACACCCACGCATTATGTACGGCAAATATGTTTACCGTGTTTGAGGCAAATATAACGTTATTGGTGAACTGAATTTTCCATATGATATAACGTATCTTATCTTTCACAGCGATGATCGTTACTCTGATGGTGAATGCGTTGCATGCACAGTTTCATTGATGATATTTATTTCCCAAAACGGGAAAATGGTTTGCTGATAAAATAAAATAATACTGTGTTTTATTTTGGGGCGTAACATTTTAACCCAATTCTAATATACGTTCAAGAAGTAACAGCTACAGCCTTAAATTACATTATTTTTTCCTTGAATTTATATTTTTTCGAAAATTGGAATTCTGAGTGTGAAATTTTATTTTAATAAAAATGTGTAAACCACTATAATTTATTCAACTCTTACCTGTTTATTAAAGCCGTGTTACACTATTCATGGGGCTATGCGCCGACCAATGCATGAGGCGTCGCGTAGCAGGCAGACGACAATGTTGGTAACACGAGGAAACTGAAGGCGCGACTCGTCGCCCGACTTGCCCGTTTTGTGCGCGGACAGAGGACTATTTAATTCCTCACCACGCAATTCATTCAAATCGTTGTTTAAAACTCTGGGCGTGTATTACAGGAGAATGTTGATTGTTTGAACTATAATACCACTAAGTTAATCTGCTGAACCTGTTTACTTTTAAAAGAATGTTAAATCACATGCTTAAATTGTTACAAAAATATAAGTTATATTTCAGTGGCACAGCATCCTTCAAATTGTCATTTTATTCAACAGAAGTGGGTAAGGCAATGTTACGTTACAGCTTCTAATTTTTAAACGATTTCTGTTTTCATCTACTGTTTCACTCACTCGAAAATGATGGTAAATTAATTTTAGAAATTTGTCAGGTCAATTCAATAGAAAACTATCATAAGACTGTACAAGTCATATAGTACAACAGTAGACCAATGTATAATACGTGTAAAGCAGATAATACAACTTTACATTATTAACTCCACAATGATATCAACACATAACATCGAATTGACATTTAGAAATGTTTAAAAACATGTTTAAATTAAACATCGTTTAGGGGTGGACCATTAAAACCTATGCAAAATACTTTTTCCGTACTTATTTTTGTGCTATTGTTTTTTAATTTATTTTTTGTGCCAGGCGACAGTTCCGCACATTGAATATCACTGTTGTCTCTCCTGGCTTTTTTTGTATGTGCAAATTGTTAGTGCTGACACATAGTGCATCTTTGCCACAGAAGTCATAATCAGGTTTGGGACTACATGACAGGGATGTGCGGCCATCAAGTGGCAATTTAATGCGCTATCCTGGCGTCAACCAGGCTCGGTCGAACACAAGCACCTGCGGACCTTAACTAAGGTTCCCCCAAAGTCGCATTCGTTGGTGAATGAATCTCGCCCAGTGGAATTGGCCTTCCCATTGAGTCTGTGGCACACTCACCCAGGGTAGGGGTGGACCTTTTTGATGTTCAGTCAGAGGTAGGATTTGAACTTGGGTCTACCGATCATGAGTCTGATGCAACAACCACTATGCTAGCAGTGACCGTGCTATTGATGTCTTGTTTTTCTCATTAATAAATTCAGTGTGTTTTTTTATTTCCCGCGTGTGTAATATTTGTTGCCTAAGATATATGCGTACATATTTCTTTTCGGTTATTGAGCCCTGAACAGAAAATAATTGAGGTATACTTATTATATATGAATAAGTTTATTCTAACAGATTATTTTCCGGTCACTGTGAGATTCCGCGTTATGCGTGAAATCGAACGTAAAAACAGGAAAACAAAGGTCATAGTGTCATAGTGACGTCAATAATCGAATAGGTATTTTGTAGAGGTATTTCCGAGCTTAATTCTATATATACATTTGATTATGGTAAGATTTGATGAAGTACGGGTATGTCAACCATTGATAATGTCAACGCCACATTCGTCTCTCAAAGCATTTCAACTCTCGACAAATAAATCAATTCATGGTTATACGAACCCACTAAATGCATTATTTATAAATTAAGATGAAAACTGTTCGTCGCGAACTTACATTAAATACAAATATATTTAAAAAATTTGTATACAATCGTTCACTAAGTCGACAAAAACGCAACTATTTAGTAGTAGTTCCATGACGTACTTGTCTTATCCTGTGACAAACACATTATTCGCTTTACGTTCTCTGTATAGACGAGAAAACGTTTTAATGTAAATTCACTCCGGGCCGTGAAAACATTATGTACGTAATGAATAAATCACCTGGCATATCTGTGGCCTGACCTCGAACGTAAACCTAGCCAGTAAGAATTGCATTTTTCACAACAATCGCTAACAATTTGCAGAAATTATGTCGCATGTCGCGCGCGCATTGAAGGCGTTAATGAACACCGTGATCAACGTACCAACCGGAGCACTGTTCAATGTCGAGGAAGATCGAGAGTAAATCATCGGAGTACCGATAGTGACGGCGAAAGCAGATCGGGTTGAAGCTATAGAGGACGCTGTTTTCGGTAAACCTGGAAGCCAGCCAACACTATTTTATAATAGACATAACTTCCCAAAATTTCGTTATTTTTTTTTAAATGCTGAAGCAAAATGTGCCTCTCCACACGTAGTGCTTTTTGGTTACCGGTATAATCTATATACTGCGTAACCCAAGCATGTACATTTCTTAAATGAGCATATAGCCGACAAGCGTTACTTTCACACGTGAGGGTATACCACGCATAGATTAATTAACACATAAAACAAATTACGCTATAATTTGTGAGAGTCGCTTTTGGAGACTAAATTGTTCATTTTTTAAACACTTTAGCAAAAATGTCATGGAAATATACGCAATATTATTTCCATCCATCGTTCACGCTGTCAACTGGTCATGATGTGTCGTAAGCAAATAACACCGAATAAACGACAAGGTAAATACTACGTCAAATTATAGTAAACACGTACTGCATGTGTGACTCGAACCGGCGCTCGCGTACGGCACAAAATCGCCTAGCTTCACCCCATTACGTGCAGAGAACATGAAACCCGTCCACGCGATCCGCGCCACACAGAATGCTGCAAAGGCCTTCAGATCTGGCTGTAGTAGGATGGTGAAAGTAATGATACAGCATTATAACAGTGAACAAGTGCTGAGAAATAATTTTAAACTCATAGTTGCTGTTGACATAAGAAGTAAAGTAAGCAAATAACACCGAATAAACGGCAAGGTAAATACTACGTCAAATTATAGTAAACACGTACTGCGTGCGTAACTCGAACCGGCGCTCGCGTACGGCACAAAATCGCCTAGCTTCACGCCACTACACGTCTTCCCCTCGGCCACCGGGCATCCCCAAAAAAGGATGCTTAATAACAGAGCTTATTACGTGCAGAGAACATGAAACCCGTCCACGCGATCCGCGCCACACAGCGTGAAGGCCTTTGCCGCATTCTCTGTGTCGTTTATTGGAAGTTGTAATGTAACTTTGTAGTAGTTCTACACCCCAACATACTTTCAAAAGTTCGCAATAGAGCAGTGCATTGTGGGCAACTCAAAGATGGCAGCGTCCATAACAAGAAAGTGTGTGCTTTGGTGCGTTCTATTTATTGCGTGCGCTGCTTGCTTAAACGTATCCCAAGCACGCATAGTCGGGACATTCGTGCTGCCACACGGAGGGATAGCATTGGCACCAAAATATTTTAATACAACTAACCACACTGCGAAGTCCGAAGCTTGGGCTCTGCACAACTCGGCTGAAGTTGTCGGACAGAAGATCAGCCAGCTGAGACCCGATGTTATTTTTCTAAGTACCCCACATGGAATCTCATCTTTAACAGATTTCTTGTTTTATTTGAATACAAATGCGTATGGAGTTGCAGAAACTGACAATTGCGACTGTCCGCCGTGCTGCTACAATGTTACGGCGGATCTGGATTTTACATTGTCTCAACACATTCTGTCGGAACTTAAAGATAACAGTATGAACGTGAGTGGCATTGTAGGGTATGGGCCTCCTGGTAATAGCGAGGTGTTTCCTTTGAGGTAAATATGCGTCTCAATAATAAAGGGGGTGATTGAGCTTTATTCTGATCCCCGTCGCGCGTGTCCCAGCCGGGTGGTGTATTGTTCAATTTTGCCTTGGGTGACCCCGGGCTGTTTGAAAGCATTGAGGGGAGTTGCATACTTTTTCCCCACAATAAGAAGCTGTTGTTGTTTTGGTGGGGGGGGGGGAGTGGAAAGTGTGAGCAGTGCACTATTTTGTGTCTAATCTGTACATATTTATTTTTCTTAAATCTGCCATCATTTTGTTCCTGTAATTTTTATTGAATCGAAATTTATGTTAGAATTCTAATTGACCAATCCAGAAATTGGTTTTACTTTTAATTAGGTAAGTTCAGCATTATCCAATCAGATTAGATTAGCAAGCAGATTAGTGGGCAATCACGCTCTTGAGCCAGTCCCTATTATAAAATATTAAAATTTCTGTATTTAAAGCGAGGGAGTCGTCACGTGTGCATGCGTCAGTTGGCCATAGTGTGTCATTGTTTACAAACAAGCCTCTACCCATAAGCCTTTGCTTTTTTAGCGTGTGTTATCGTCATTTGGGACTCAATTTCTGGCGTGCGCAAGTGGCGACCCTCCCGCTTTAAAATTATAAATACTTTATAACCAAATTCGCATTTAGGGGGCCATGCTTTGTGCCCTCTACTGTATTATTGATGGTCATTTTGATTTTTGTGTATGTTTGTTCACACTTTTGTGGCATGCAATTAATAGAACACTTCTTTTTACAGGAACACTTTACTCCAGAAGCTAAAACATATAATCAAGTCTAGAAAATTATACTGAAATAAAATAAATTCATTTTTGATTTTCATATTAACGAAAGTACCAGGATGTGTGACCTTTAGAGGTCATGGAAGTGAAGTATTGAATGGCTCACGGTTTGGGTTTCCAAACATTTCAGGTGGGGTGAGGTCGTTCCTCTCTACTTTGCATTAAAGTCGCATTCTACAGAAGTTGTTATTTTATCTCATCCAAGCAGACGATATAACCATAGCGACGAAATGATACCTGAATTACTTTCATTGGGTATGTTAACCTTTTCACCAGCAGTTCCATCTTTTCATCATAAATTCACAAAATAGCCCCGTTTATTGGGACAAAAATAGCCAAATATTTTTAGTAAAAACTGAAAATGGACTCAAATTTTGTCTGTTAGCTCCAAAATTAGGGTTCATTTTATGAAATATTGAAGAATATATAACTAAAAAGTACAGAAAAAAGTTCTGATCAATGAAACACCATATTTTCTTTATTAGAACACGTTTACTCTTTTTTTTTCTTAGCAACCGTGATTGGAAGCAAAAAATTGCTCTTACTGCATGCTGGAAAATAAAAAATGATTGTCTCAATGGAATTCAGAGTAGTTGGGATGTCCAGCTGTCCAACAACACAAAGTCAACCAGAAATAACATAAAAAAAACTTGTAAAATGAAATATCTACATTATACCACAACATTTAGCTTATTGAAATAAAATGTACAGGTACTTTAACATTGTTGTATTAGTGTAACGTAGTGCAAGAACAGATATTGTGTGTTCAAGTTATTGTACATGTTTTCTTTTGACCCAGGATCTTTCCTATACCAGACTTTAAACAGAATAGACCAGACAGTCGCTGTCGTTATTAGTGCCGATCTGGCTCACACCCATGATAAAAATGGCCCATATGGATACTCTCCAGATGCAGAACCGTTTGACAAGGTAATATGCATGTTTACAGATAAAAGTTATTAGCATTTTTGCAGACACCGGCTTATTTTCATGAGTTAAAAGTCACCAACGTTATTTGTATTTGCTCCTGTAAAAACATGTCTGTATACATCAACCTAAAGGTGCATTTATTGTATGGGGAAACATTGTTTTGACTACAGAACCACCCCTGTCATTTACATGAGAGCATGCGTTACTAATGGAGCAAATACGGTTTTGTGTCTTGATCACAGATGGAACTGTCCCAGAGTGAGGACCCCTCATTAATACCAAGCGACATTTCACATTTTGGTTACTTGCGAGTATGCAAATTAGCAACATAAATTGGGAATGCTCTCACGAATCAAATAGCATTCACACATGGATAACATTCACATTTATAGGTGTGGAGTTGGTTGAACACTTCCACTAGCCCAAGAAATCGCCAAAAGATTCACATGGAACATTGTGGATGTGATCTTAGATTGATAATGTTCTATTTCTATTATTTAATGCTCGGCTCTCCTGTTATACTGTCATCTTTTTGCATTATTCAATTAATAGCTCTACATTATACAAAAATTATGACTAAATTATGTACTGTAAAACACCTTATTTTTGCTTGAAATTTATTTTTGCTGAAGGAATGATGTTTACATTCATCTCGTCAAAAATTCCATATAAAACACCAAAAATGTTTTATTAATTTAATTAATTGTATCTAAAGTAACGTATTTTACAGTACTCGGTACATTATAATAAGAATTTGTGCCCCTCAATAATTCGTTATTGTCTTCTTTATTGCTCCAGGCATGTGGAAGATGGGCAACAACATTAAATGAAGGTGACATATTAGACATTGCTGCCAAGTATGTGAATAATGCATTATCGTGTGGGTATACCGGACTTGTCATGCTGCATGGATTGTTACGATCAGCTGATCTCTCAACCTGGCAACCGCATCTTTATGCAAATTATCACCCCAGTTACTATGGAATGATGGTAGCTGAATTTATGCCAAAGACTTGGTGATTCATATAATAAGTGCATGCAGGCACTGTATTATAGAGGGACTATGATGCAGGTTTTCTTTGTCAAAACGATTTATTTACATCGACAAATGCTTGGAAAAGAACATTTATTTTGTTGCCAGGACAGAAAAGAAACCTGTGCCTTCATTTTTATACAGCTCTTTTGGATATTTTAATCAATTGTTTTATATCTATGTATAAGAAATAATTGTAAAATTAAATAAATAAGTAATATTTGTAAAAATCCATATTTGTATTGGTGCAAATCAAATTTGGCACTTGATTCAAATATTCTAATGGATAAACAGGGTTTTTTCTAGAAAAAGTGAACAAGAGGGAGCACACACATGCGAGGGAGTTGAGCGAGAGTAGCTAACACAGAAACATGGCGGATCAACCTGGGAACGCCATATCGGAAGGTTTCTGCGCCATTTGAACGGTGTATCTATCGCCATTATAATATTTTGGGGGTAATTTTAGTGTATTTGGTGTCCAGACACATTGTCAGCTGGTGTTGCTGGGAAGTTTTCACAGAGAAAAATATATTTGAGAAAGATTTCCTGTCGTACGACAGCACAGAAATATATTTATGACTTTAAAGTTCAATCTGTAAGAGGGCGCCAGCCAAGAGTATCAGGGCGCTGCGCCCCTGTTCCCCATTTTAGAAAAAAAACTGGATAAAAATGTAATCATTTGGAGTAAACTGCAACTCATGTTGGATTAATAAAATAAATAAGTGATACTTTTTTTTCAGGTAAACCGCAAGGTGAAATCAAATTCTGTTGTTATGAAACAATTTATACAAACGATGAAAAAACGTATTCAGTTTACATTAAATATTCTGTAAAAAACATATTTGTATGAACTCATTCCGACATATTTTTCTTGGAGTAAACTATGTCTCAATCAAACACTTGAATGAGTCATTAGTACAGGTATGGAACTCGTCTCATTTACCACAAAATTATGACTAAAATCAAGAAAAACATTTGTTGATCAATATGTTATATATTATATTTATTTATTCAAGGTACAAAGGCAACCGGCTTATAAGTACAAGTAACGTATGTCAAGAATGTATTACAGAGCGCTTAATAACTGTTTGTGCTACAATTTTTCATGGTAACAATCCAGAACACAAATAAACTTGCATTACAATACCAGTAATACTAAAAATCTAACTTGTTGAATTATGTTTCAAGCATACAGTCACCATGCATACTTTGTGATCACAAATTTTCCAATTTTTTTTTTTTTTTTTGTAATTTACATGTTTGCGTTGATTTAAATTACAATTTATCTCGTGAATTTTTAAGTAATTTTCAGTAATGCATTAATGCAAATATTATGCAATTTATAATCAACTACAAATCTTTTTTTTTTTTTTGCTATTGGAAGCACATCTTTAAGAGAATCACACATGAATGATAAAATATTTATTTAATAAGTCGTTTATATGTAGTCGTGAAAAAGCATGCATGTCATTTTGTGTATGCATGTCAATTTTACGTACGTCAATCTAGAAAAGTTATCCAGAATGGTGGGGTGGGGTTATTAAGGGTGGTGGGATTGTTTTGCGATGGGGGCGGGGAAGTCACCTAGAATGTGGGGGGAAGTGCGAAAGTTTTTGAGAATAGTCTGGAGGCTAGAAAGTTGTCTAAAATGGTGCGATAGTGCAGTTCGGGCAAGAAAGTTGGAGGATATTGGAGGGTATCTATGGTGATTGTTTGGGTTGGAGCAAGGTGGGTAAGTTATCTAGAATGATGGGATAGTGGGGGGGGGCTATCTAGGATTGTTTGAGAGGAAGTTATTAAGGATAGTTGTATAGTTGGAGAGCAACACAGTGAGGTTATCTAGAGTGGTGGGATAATGGAAGGCAAGGTGAGAAATCTATCATTTGAGGGCAGGGCAGGAAAGATGTGAAGAATGGTGGGATAGTTGAAAGGGAAGTTGTCTAGGATGGTGGAATAGTTTTGGGAAAATACAGGAATGATTTCTGGAATAATGGGATAATTACGAGAAAATTATCTATGATTGTAGAGGGGAAAATAATGACTTTAACTCGTGATCTAGAAATGTAATAGAAATCAGTAAATATGAGGGGAGGGGGTTCATAAGTATGAAATAAATTTGCACATTAAAAACTGTTAATTCAAAATTCAAAAATTCAAAATTAATTCTAATAATATACGTCCCTGTAGAACAGAAGAAAAACGCTTTGACATTTTTTCCTTGTCTACTATACATCATTAAAAGTGGTGAGCCCCTATAATATTCCATTAGAAAACTATGACGAAATAAGGAATCAATAAACAAGACAATTTAGAAGAAAACTATAATTAATCATGTAATAAAGCGTTTTAGCATTAAAAGACGTTACGGTACATGAAACCTCAAGTATTTCCTAGACACACCAGCAAACCACAGGCGCTCGGAACGTTTCTTGGATAATAAAAAAATGACCTAAAGTAGGGTCGGCATAGTTAGTCGCCTACCACTCATACAATAACAAGACGGCGCCAGCGAAATTCGAAAGCCAACTGTTTAGTCAAAACCCAAGCAGTTTGCCAATTCGCTAGCGAGTTTGCAAATTGGCTGTCCCAATACTTCTGAGACTTACTGTAATCATTATAGAACAGTAGATTTGATTGGTAAAAGATCACCATACACTTCGAAGAATTGACCAATGGGAAGAACTCTCATACTACAAGTATACGAGTGTATAAAAAAACACTCAGGTGTACCAATTTTAAACTATTGGTGGCGCAATTTAGCGTACAATACAGAGAACGGGAAATAAAGCCAAAGAACGCATAACGCGAAATTAAAAGTTGCGAGAACGTACCACCGGGAATTCATTACACCCAATAACGTAGAACGAGAAATTAGCTGAGAACGAATCACCATGAATTAAAAATCCCGAGAACGCATCACCAGGAATTAAAAAGCCCTCATAACGGATAATGAAAAAAGAAGTATAAAGAAGCCTGAATATGTATTTTTGCGATCAAATAGTGGTTCAGTTAATACAATATTGTCGGGACTAATATTTGGAAACCTGAACAGTACATAGAAGATAATTCACACCATTGTATGAATAGAATTGTTGTGAAAACGTGCGTTTATATAAAATGATTGTTGGATATTTAACATCCAAACGCATATTTAGTGTGTAAAAACACGAGTGTCAAATATTGAATGATGACGCCCTCTCAAAAACCGTGGTTGTGTCGGTGGATGTTTTTACTATGCAACTACTGTTACTGCCACTGAGGGCGTTAAACCAAGCCTGCGAATTTTAAGGACTTCAATTTTAAGACTTCAATTGCGATTCACCTTTTTGTTGACTTTTTGTTGCAATGTGTGTAAAACTGGGCAGTAATGCCACAAACAAGAGAAATTATAGTGCACTGTGAACAGAAAACGGGGTCAAATAGAAGTTTCGAGTTCCTGAAAAGATTAATAACATAAGTTTGATATTGCCTTAGCCAATGAAAAAAAAAAACGTGCTAGGCATTTAATTCGAGCATAGTCTTTCTCCTATGTTCTACTAAAGGGGTTGGAAACGAATATTTAATTGTATTTCAATTCAAACAAAGAATTCAAGATATCGATTGTCGGAGTGCCTATTGCACGGAACAAAATTATTATGAAGTCGTCCGTAATTGTAAATGCATAATGCGTATGAAATATAGCAGAACGAGTACACAACCAAATTTCGTCAATATAAGCGATATTGGTTGACGTCACATACACGTTTTGTCGCTAGAGGGCGCGGTTTATTGAGGAGGTGTGAATGACTTGGCTATAATCGTTTTGTGGGCCTGAGTATTGCATACACGTACACTGTTTAAAGGGCGGTAGTCGTCGCGCCGCGTCCTGTTCAATATGGGACTCATAGCGACGTATACAACGCGTGTAAAATACATTGTTTATTTACATGAAATTCGAACACGCGTTCCGCGACGACCACCGCGTTTTAATATACATATGCAATAATATAAAATTCTCAAGCGGGTGAGGTGGTAATGAAACGAAATCTATATAAATGTATGAACAGTTCTGACATAAATCGTCGTTACGTTTACGACTAATATCAACGATACAAATAAAGATCATGATTAAAAAGGAGCCTGTCATATTGACAAAATTAATTTATGTGGGAATATATATATCAATATGTTGAAACTAAACTTGCTTATTCGTCTTTAAACAGTAGGACACATGTTTTTTTTGTCATTGCTTAAGTCTTCACGTCGACTAAACACATTGTGCGGCACCGTCTGCAATTTTTCTATTGCAATACAAAATACCGTACAAAATGCCGTACAAAATGCCGTACAAAATGCCGGAACAAGTACATGTTCAGAAAATTGTACAGTATACCACTTACATTAAAGTACCTTCCTACAATTGTATAATCGTTCATCTTTCTACTACCACAACGCCGGGTCCACCATGTTTTTCACAACCAAATTGTAGATTACGAGATAACTATGTGCTAATATAATTAACTAATCGATAGTCGGACACTGCACTCTATTCGATTCTAGCTAGTCTGCGACTGGGCAAGAAGTTGAATTTTTACGACTGGGTCAGCGACTGAAGGTGGCCAGTCGGAAACATTCGATCAAATTGTAAGGAGTGTGGTCGCACAGGAATAACACAGATTTATACACGGAACGTTAGTAACGATCATATAATCATATTTACGTTTAACTAGAAGTCTTGGTTTCATGGAGATATTTCCATGTCTTGTGTCTGTATAGCTTAAGCTTTGTTTTCGGTGGAAGAATTTCTTCTTTTATTGACATAGTGAGGTTTCCAGTGAGATAAGGTCGTCTTCATTAATATTGTAGAAAGAGATAATATTATATTCACGGACCAAGTAGAGTTAAGTTCGAGTGATATCCACGACATAGTCATAGTAGAGTTTGCTTAGTGACTAATGATTTTGCTCCAGTGAGGTAATGTCATCTTAATTGACATCGTTCGTTTGCAGTGAAATAGTATCATCTTAACTGTCAAAGATACAACCAGCTTTGCTGACACAGTAGGGTTTGTTTCAGTGAGATAAAATCATATTTACTGACAGCGAACGATTTTATTCCTGTGAGATAATGTCAAGTTTGGTTCGAGAAGATAACATCGTCTTTACCAACATAGTAAAGTTTGCTTGCCGTGAGATAATATCGTTCTTGTTGTCAATGTAGAGGTTGGTTCCAGTGAAATCTTATTT